GGAGTGGATGTGGATTAGGGAAAAGGCAGTGGGAGGGAGGAGTGGATGTGGATTAGGGAAAAGGCAGTGGGAGGGAGGAGTGGATGTGGAGTTGGATCCTCCTCCTCCTCGCTGTAGCCCATGGGAGCTCACACATGGCCCCCATGCCACTTGTTCAGTATCAAATCGAGCTCTTAAACCCAGCTCTGACACAGAAGTCAACGAATGTTCTTGGCAGAGGCAGTAGTGAAGTAGAACATATTTTCCTAAGGCCACAGCATTGACTTCAGCCCCCCTGCTGTGGTATTTAGTGTGTGCGTGTGCATGTGCAATACACGCAGCATACAGTTATTCGAATTCTTCAGAATTTTTGTGTGTTGAACTGTCCCCTTTGGTAGTTCTGGTCACTGAAGCAGTTGTTGCATGTCAGCTTTTCATTTGATTTTACCACCCTTTAGGAATGCCTTTTTTTTTTACTTTTGTGTTTTTTTTCATAAACTGTTTTATTGGCAAATGATTTGCACCTCATGCAATTCAGTAGTTCAGTCACACCAAGAAGAGTTGTGCAATCACCACCACAGATTTAGAATATTTTTTTCATTCTTGCTTTATCACTTTTCCAAAGGCAACTTACAGCTGAGAATCAAGCCACAGTAGGCTTTTCCATCCAGATGGGTAAAAGAGCCCCTGGTTTGCTGTCGCATTGAGTTTTTCCCTTGCTTCTTCCTCTGCCTTGTCCCAGATGCAGCAAAGCCCTTCAGCATGGTGGTCTTCCACTGCCGGCATATGTTCCACAAGGAGTGCCTGCCTGTACCTAGCATGGTGAGTGGACAGCTTGGCACCTATTAACTAAGGAGCTATGGGTACACTTAGAAGGCTCTACACTCCACAACCCATCTTCCTTAGGGGAACTTTGGGTTCTCCAATTTACCAGAGTGCTTTATATCTCATAAGAAAGATTAATTTATCTTTTAATCTAACATAAAAATGTTTACTATGCTACATAAATATTATAACCGAACTCACTGCCATCGAGTCAGTTCCAACTCATATTAACCCCATAGGGCAAGGCTAAACTGCCCTTCTGGGTGTATGAGACTGTAAATCTTTCAAGGAGTAGAAATCCTCATCTTTCTCCTGAGGAGAAGCTGGTGGTATTGAACTGCTGGTTTTACAGTTAGCAGTCCAAAGCATAACCCACTACCCTACCAGTACTTCTTTATAAACATTATAAAGCAGAATAACTTATTCGTTCAGGTAATTGATGAATAGTCATCCTTTGGTGGTTCTGTGGGTTGGGCATTAGGCTACTAGCCACAAGGTCGGTGGTTCAAACCCACCAACCATTCTGCAGGAGAAAGGTCTGCTCTTATAAAGATTTACAGCCTCCAAGATCCTATATAAAATCCATAAGAGTCTTAATAGATCTGATGGCAATGGGATTGAATTGAGCTATCTAACTAGGCGATGAAGTAGAAAATTGTTTTGCCTAACTTTCTCAATGCAATTGTGTCGTGAAGCTATATTCTTTAGTAGCCAGACTTGATCCCCCTGAGCACATACGACTTCTTGTGCTGTGGTGTGTCCTTTGAGTCACAGAAGAGTCACGGGGCTTGACCCCATATGAACCAGAAATTATAGCCCCCGCCCCTTCCCCCCTGCCGCCAATGGCTACCACTACTGTAATATTTCTGAATATTAGAATGAAGGGAACCGGGTTGCATTTTATTTGTTCATTTTTCTCAATCTGCTTTTCTGTTGTTGCATTTTCAGAACTCTCCTGCACAATTTTGCAACATCTGCAGTGCTAAGACCCGTGGACCAGGAAGTGGGATTTTGGAGTTGAAGAAATAGCTGAGTTCTGCTCAGCTCTGCTCTGCTCTGCGCTCCTTCACACCACTCTTTTTGGAAAGACTGTTTTTGCAACAACAGAAGCACCGCTGGCAGCCGTGCAGCCTGTTCCGAGACGTGCGCATGTGTATGTTATCTTCAGGAAGATAATGATTTTCTTCTCCGCTGGTCATCAAGAGCTTTCTCTTGGCAGTGGGTACAAGTTAGGGCTCCCTGTGCCTGGAATAGTGGATTCACTGTTGATATTCCGTTTATTGGTTTGGTTCACTCTTTATTAGTGTGGAAGCATAAGTCTAGAAGTTAGAAATGAAGTGTTCAGACTCTCATAAAGCGTTCCAGCACAAAGGGTACTTCTGAGACTCCTGTGCAGTTGTCTGCAAACCTCACCAACTGCATCTCACTGTTACACTGCGAGCTCCACCCCATCTGCGCCACTGAGGACCTTCGCAGCCTGAGCTTGCTTGCCCTTTTAAAATATGTCTTCCATGGTAGTTAGTGTGTCCACTGGCATTTAATGAAGCACTGTGGAAATGTTCACCTGTCTGATAGTGTCTCAGATGTGAGCAGTCTAATAACACGTAGCTTTGTGCTTGCAAATTATATGTTCCGTGTGTCCAGATAACGGACATGGTCCATGCCTGGCCCACACAGATACTTGTGTTTGTTGATTGAATAAACACTAACTCTTCTCATTGTGAACGACTCTCTTTTATTGGGTAAGCCAATTGCATCATAAGGAATATTGGTGATGGTGGTGAGGAGGTGTCCAAAAGTTTTTGGAAATTGAAAGGTAAAAATAGATAATGCAACCTTTCCCACAAACTTTTGGAAGGCTCCTCATAAAAGAACAGCTCCTCACCACAGAAGCGGAGGTCGTTTGTTTTTATTTTCTGGTTGTTGGTAGTTGCCGATGTACAACAGAAGAAAGCGCCCCCTGTCCTGGGCCGTCCTCACCACTGTTCTTGTCGGAGCCCCGTGGTGTCGGAGCCCTCGTGTCGATCCGTCTCGTCCAGGGCCTTCCTCTTTTTCACTGCCCTGCTACTTCACCAAGCATGCTGTCCCCTTCCAGGGACGGGGCGTGGCTTTAACGGGAGGGGTGGTGGTCAGTAAGTGACTGTAAGATCTGAGAGGGATTCTAGGGAAGTGCGACTGCCTCATACCAAAGGTCGCCATCACAGCATTTCCTTGGGTTTTTGTGGTTCCTCCTTTGCTCCTGCAGTGACTACCCAGAGCAGACAGCAGGAGTGAACTCAAGCGTGGTTTGCCTTTTTTTTAAATCCTTTTTATTGACATATAATCCACATATCATACAATGCAATAGTTCAGTCCTGTCCAGAAGAGTTACCATCATCACCACAATCAAATTTAGAACATTTTCTTCTTTCTTGTACTCGTTAGCTCCCATTTCCCCCCAACCTCCCCTGCTGTCCCCCCAAGGCACCCGTCCAGTTACTATCTCTAAGGATTTACCCATCCTGGATTTCATATGCGGAAAAGATACACACACACAAAGCTAACAGCCAGCACACAATAAAATAGAGGTAAACCTCAGTTGAGAAGAAAGTAGAAACTATTAAGAACTAGAACAACTTTAAAAGGGGTCTAAAAGGGGGTCAAAGGATAAGGTGTTAAATCTAACTTCGTCTGCCATAATCCACTTTCCAATGTGCTGCGCATGACGGCAAGGCTGGTCCCGCCCCTGTGTGCCGATGTCTCGCAGCTATGCGCATCACCTGTCTAGGTATATTGCCACCTTCTAAATGTATGCCAAGGAGGGTTTTATCGGCTCATTTGTGGGACAGTTGTGTTAGATTCCCAGCCAGGACACCTCAAACTCAGCCACTACTTGTCTGTCGTAAAGCCTTGCATGTTGCTATAGTGCTGTTCAGGTACAGTGAAGCTCCTAGACTATAAAAGTAAACCAGAAGAAGAGCTAACTGCAGCTATTGGGCTCTCCCTATCCGGAGGAAAGAGACCTCTGTTTCTTTCAAGATCACTTTCAGTCATATTAAACTAAGACATTGTGGGTGCGTGTATTTGTGTCTAGGAGACATTTCTATGTGCTAAATATTACAGTGATTTATTCTACTTTCAATCATCAAGACTCGGGCTCTTCAAACCACCAGTTTTGACATTAAGCAATAGCTTGCATGTCCCACCCACCTATTCCTGCATGCTTAGCCAAATGGCGTTTCATGAAATCTGGAAAGGCATGCGTTGCTCCGTCTCATGCCCTGCGGGTTTGTGATGATCCACAGAGCCAGGAGCCCAGAAGGAGCTACTCCTCGGTCTAGCAAGAATGTGGCTCTGCAAGCAAGATGGGGTCACCTCCTCCTCCTCCTCCTCCTCCTCCGGACCCGCGGGAAGACTACGGACCGAAACCGAGTCAAATGTGGAGAGAAGATGCAAATATTCTGCAACGATGCTCTGAACTGTATTTGCGGAAGAAAGGTGATTAGGAGATGGCCGGTTAAGCCCAGACCACATGGAAAGAGAACCCTTGGGTTGAAATACAGGAGTATTTTTTCTAAGCTGAAGTTAGACTTCAGCTCATGTCGAACTACCTTGCATTTTCACTCTGATTGCCTCAGGCCCTGATTCTTAATCGTAAAAACTCCAGGGATTATAATCAATTTCTCTCCAGTTTCCTTCTCTGTCGTTTCCTGGGCAGCTTGGGCAAGTTACTGCATGTTTCTAAACCTCCCTTTCCTCCGGTGTTCAGTGCGGAGTGAGGCCAATGGCAGCCTCGACTTTGGAGCATCGAGACGGGGTACGCACAGTGCCTGGCTCGCCTGGGCCCCTGAAAAGCAACTAGCATGAAGCGAGAGTTTAATAAATGTCAGCTTCTGAGTGCCCCCCACCATCCCATTACCTGACTTCCTGGTGCTCGCCCCCTTTCTTCAGCCTTCTCCACGCTATACCAGGGTGGCTCGATGGCACGGGTGTCAAACTGGTGGCCCGCGGGCCGCATGCAGCCCTCGAGGTAATTTTTTGTGGCCCGCGATGCTCTGAAATAGAATGAAAATAGAAAAAATTGTTATGAAGCAAAGAGTGCTTAGGGGAGATCGAGGCAATACCGTACACACAATTCCCTCATTACATTTCAGAGCATCGTGGGCCACAACAAATTACCTTGGGGGCCCCATGAGGCCCACAGGCCACCAGTTTGACACCCCTGATCTATGGGAGTAGCTCACAGCAGAAGTGAAGGCGTTTCATTTCCAAGGGTCGGTTGTATAGAACACTGGTGCTTTCATGCTGACTGTTCTTTCTTGCGCTCCCTTTCCTACATCCTCACCCGAGGGAAAACCACACCATCAGGACCCCTTTGGAGAGGCTCCCTTGGTAAGGGACAGGAGCCCTGCACCCACAGCCTTGTGTAGGAGGTTAGAAGGAGCTCCTTCAGCTCCAGCCACATATGTAAATCTAGTACATCAGCCCACAGAGTACCTGGGCCCTCGTAAAAGACTGAACTAGAACCATCCATCCGAGCTGCTCCTGAAGAGCACGTTGTTTAGACTACTTTTTAAACAACCAAGATTTTGACAACGTAGAAAAGGGTTTGTTAGCATTAGCATTTGAAATCATATGATTTAGGAAACAAGGGAAGGGATTGGATAGCCCATTACTTTAAAGACATGAAAACTGAGAGGTGTTAAATTGCAAGCTGCAAAGTCGTCTGTGTCGGGCTAAAGGAACATTTCACGTTGCTTCACAAAGTTAATCAGTGGGCGTCACATCAACGAGTGTATAGGCTGAACATGAGAACTTCCTCACACGAGCTGGCCAGCACCAGAGGAGTGTGCCTGGGTCAGGAATGGACCCCGGAGGGAGTGGAGCTGCTTCCAGTGAGGTGGGTGGTTGACAGGACTGAACTCTTGAGTGACGGGTTAGCTCTGTTGATCTCTAAAGGTCCCCTTTACACACTGACTCAAATGACCTCACTGCCAGGGAGCCAGTGCCAACTTATAGTGACCCTACAGGACAGGGTACACCTGTCTCTGTGAGTTCCCAAGGCTCTAATTCTACAGGAGTAGAAAGTCCTGCCTTTCTCACGGGTGGTTTTGAACTGCTGACCTTGCAATTAGCAGCCCAGCATATGACCACTATGCCACCTGAACTTGTGCCTAAATCCCTCTGGAGACCGTCAATTTAATCACCTACTGCTATTTTTATAAGCAGATCCTTTGCCCGTCTGTCCTGTGCCTGAATGCCCACGTTTTTGCCTAGTTTCTGAATTCAGTGTCACTACAGGTCCCTTTTCTTGCTTCTCCCCACACAAGACCCACCTGGCTCTCCCATCCAAGTGTTTTGCTGCTTCCCCTCATTTGTTTTTGCCAGATGAATGCATGTTCCTTAGCCTATAACAATGCTAGTTCCAACAGAGCTGCCAATAACTGCCTTTATTTTATTTTTAATATTTTTTCTAAAATCAATGAGATTATTTCCATATGACAACTCTTTATTCTGTAAGTAGAAGCTGATTCAGCAACATTAGCAAGCTTCTGCTTGCTGTCCAAAGAACTAGGGCCTGAAGTTCAATGAACAACAGAGATGCCCCTCAAGCCTATCTGTCTGTTGTTCATGCCAGGACTGGCGGTTCTAAGTGGCAGAAACAAACTCAAAGTAAGCCTAATTAAAAGAGAAATTATTGGAAGGATAACGGAATTGCTAGAGGAGCAGAATGGTGGCTTGACCTTGAGGACTGTACTGTGACCAAGACCTTCTGTCTAAAAAGGAGCTCTTAGAGAAAGAGAGAGAGACAGTAGACAGCATCCTGGCCCACCAAGCTTCGAGGACAATGTTCCTGCTCAGAGCAGCCAATGCTCATGGAGGACTGTAGGGTCAGCCTCACCACGAGACATGACATCCCCTTATTGACCCACAGCACTGGAGACACAATGCAGGAATTGTGCCCAGTCTGACACCCCCTCTACACAAACACACACACGCCAGGGCATAACATGAAGGCAACACAACAGAGCAACAAGGGGGGCAAAGCAACAAAGTCCCTGAAGAATTCTGAAAACAGACTTTGAACTGGTGGGGGTGGGGGTGGGGGTGGAGAAGGCAGGGCTTGGCATTGTATCAGACCCAATTGGAAAACATTCATAAGGGTCAGCAGACAGACCTGCAACTATTCATAGGC